AATATTTTTTTTTTTTTTTTTTTATTTCTCACCCGGTGTTCTTTATTCTTATTGGGGCTTAATTAAATTTGGATTCATGCCGAAAAATTGTATATTGGGGTAAAGCGCTTCCTAATAAATTTTTTTTATATCCAGGTGTTCTGTATCCGCATTGCCGAGGGTCTATTGGAAACAACCTCTCTATCTTCACTAGACAGGAGTAAGACTTGCATACACACTATCATTCTTAGACCCTACTTATGGGAATATAGTGAGATTGTTGTTGTTGTTGTTGTTATTGTTCTGTATCCGCATTGGAGCCTGACTAAATTTGGATTTGTGCCGAAAAATTGCATATTGGGGGTAAAGCGACCTTATATTTAGGGCTTGAAGCCGAGACCTCTGGCTAAGGATAAATAAGTATACTTATACTATTATAAAAGCAGAAAGCTCCATTAATATTTTTGCTTTGAATCATCTTTAGGATTTTGGAGTTTATTATGAATTTGTCACGTTGGTTTTTCTAAACTTATGACCCTTCAAATAAAAAATGACCAGAAGTTTACTTTTGATGTTCGGTTATATTTGTGTTAGTTTTTCTAAAAGGAAACTGAAAAAAGTCGAATAAATTTATATGAATAAAATATATTATATGTATTAAGTTTAAAAATGACAAAGCATTAATAATTTTGACGTTGAACCTTGGGATGGATTCTCTACTACTATCGAAACTAAATTCATCCGAGATTTTAAGCAGTAAGCTACCAAAATATAAATAAATTGGCAAAATATTGTTTTACTGTTGCCTGAAATATTTTTGTTATTGGTACATTAATACTTAATATAATCTTGTCAACAGTTGTGAGCTAAAATTTAGTCAATTCTTTTTGTGAAAATAGCCAAACTTGGAACGCTTATCCGGCACTTTTGTTGCTCTTTATCTGAGAGATTGAAGAAGAGACGAGGATAATGAGAAGACATGAAATTCGTCCTAAGAAGTCTCAAATAGTTGATGAAAGTAATCAAAATCTTTCAGAAAGTAGTCCTTGCAATGATTTGAACTGAGCATTAAAATTATTTCAAGAGGCTTCGATCTTGAGGTGAATGTGCTTGTTCAACAGCACTTAGAAGACATAAGACATGAAATGGAGCAAAAATTTGAACAAATACCAAAATGTAGCGACATGGGAAGACCTACATATAGCAAGAAAACAAACATCCACTTTCAAGAGAAAAATAAAAATGGTTGTTTCTCAAGACATAGCTAAAACTCCCCGTCATTACATTATTAAAGACCTTGCTTTTACGAAGAATAATGTGTTTTTCATCATTACGTAGCACCAAAAAAACTTAGGGAAATATCCTGCTTCCTTAAATATTTTGTCACAATTGATTCTTACCTGCTAGTTTCTATAACAATATGCATAGTAAGAGTGTACCAGCTCTAACAACAAAAACATAAACTTAAACATAAACATATACTAAAAACAATAATCTATCGGGCTTTCTCCTTCCCTTTTCTGGATCCACCACTGCTAGGAGCACCTTTCCCCTTCTCCTTTTTGGTTTCACTGCTGCCAGGAGCACATTTTCCCTTCTCCTTTTTGGTTTCACTGCTGTTATAATCCTCATAATGGTTACCAACTTTATCAACGCCTTCAGGATAAGTCAACATGTATACTAAGTCCCTTCTTACTTTAGCATATCCTCCGTCCCCCCAGTTCTCACCCCATGTGTTCTTAATCAAGTAGTATTCTATTCCATCCTTAATGCCCCATCCTATTATGAGAATAGAATGTCCACCTTGATTCCTTTCCTTAGCAATGCGTCCCATATAGACACCCTACAATAATGAAAACAATTAAATTTAGCTTACATAATAAAAACAAATTTAGTAATTCTTTTAACAATTAAATACTATGTATAAGAATAAAAATAGTACATACATCTCCCTTGAAGTTGGCGAAACTGTCATAGATATCGATTGCACCAACCATAGGTTGGTATGCCAACACTCGATTAATCTCTTCTGCAGTGACTAATCTCTCAGAATCCTTCCTATGTGGATCCCCAGCAATACACACACGATTGGCATGTCCAATTCGATATCTCGGTTTCTAACATGTGTTACAAAAATAAAGAAATAAGTTTAATATTTTCAGAATATAAAATATTTTTGAAGAGGAAGAAACATACATACATCAGGGATAGGAGGGATATCATCTTTATTTCTACTCCCTCTTCTGGGATAGTCACATTCTTTGAACAAACCAAAGTCTCTTGCGTATAGAAGAGCATCAACATGCGAACCAAAATAACACCCGACTTCATCTGTTCTGTGAAGTCTATTTTCGTAATTAAAGTTTATTGGCAATAGATCTGCGATTTGTTGTATAGAGAGTTCAACAGGAGGTTCACTGAATTCTTTTGCAAATAGAGCCGATACGGCTTCTCCCGTGCTATATGCATAGCACACATCTATAAAATTAAAATAGAAACTAATTAAAACAAAGTCAACTAACTGTGATGAAGCGAAAATTTTCTTTTGAGGAACGGTAACATTTCATTCAAAACAGCAGCACAAAGCTAGTTTGTGTGGTAAAAAACTGAGTTCAATCGCCATATAACAAAATATAAAAGGGCATCAACAGACACATGCAATAAGAACATTAAAGCAGAAAATATGCGGATCAGGTCGGATCGGGTCAAATATGTACGGGTTGACGGGTTATGTAAAATGGACAATATATAAGTATTGGACGTGCCCATATTTAAAATGGATAAAAAATGAGCTAACATATCTTTGTCTGGTTTAGTGCATCTACTCGATCGGAACCATCTTAGTAGTAATTAACTAGTACTATAAAATTTGTATGATTATCAGTTTGCATAAATCTTCAAGATTATTTAATAGTGGGTTAATATAATTACCTAATGAGTTAAATTGATCTCACGTCTAACTGTACTGCTCAACCCATCAATTCGTATTAAAAAAGTATAAAATAATTGATATTTAATTTATCACATAAACATAGGTCATACTTACTCATCCTGCCTTGTTTTCGGACGTTCGGAAGAAGTATCCCACTATCTTTCAAACTAAATTCTACATCTGCCATTATGACTACAAAAGAAAAAGGAGAACGTAACAAACAACACAGAAAATGAAAGAAACGATTCTTGAAAAACACCATAAATGGGTAAGTATGTTTAAGAAAAGAGAAAATCATGAAGCGATGTAGGGTGTGTTTTGTTTCCTTTTTTATAAATCCAAACCATGAAACCCCTTAGTACCAAAACACTACAAGAAATCCATTAACAATATTTTGGCAAACAGATCAGTTTCCAGGATGCAACATGGGTAAGTATGTTGCATCACTTTTTTCTGTTTTCCAGATTTTCGAAAAAAACAAACATTTTTGTCAACCTAAAAGTTTCTACTAACTTGTATAAACTCACAAACCCCAAAAGTTCAAGTAAGAAAGATTGAGCTTCAGAAACAAAGAGAAGAAGTAAAATTTAAAAGGAGAAGGTGATGGTTTTTCTGGACTGCAACTGCAAGTCTGCAATGCAAGGGACGGAATTTTGTGCAGTAAGTAGTAGGACGTTATAGGGGTTGTACAATTCTATTTTGTTTTTACAAATCTTGTAAAACACCATATTTAATTAAGAACAGTGGTTTATAACTCCCCTAAAACATTCTTTCTTTGATATTTGGAAAGACATCTATCTGTATGGCCTAACCACAATCATCAACGTAAAAAGTTGTCTAAATTAAATTGCTTCAAATATTTCTAAAACGGGCAGAGATTATGAGGAGATTCTATAGCTCTTAAAAATAGAAAAAAATGGGGAGTTTTATGACACTACAAGAAATCCATTAAAAATATTTCTTACAATATTCTTAGTGGTCGTCAAGAAACAGATCAGATTCCAGGTCGCAAACCCTAAAAAAAATTAAAGGTGCAGCATGAGAAAGATTGAGCTTAGAAAAGCGAGATAATGTAGATTTTGGTTCAAAATAATACACTCAAATTACGCATGCTAGGAGTATTTTAGATTTTAGCTAGAAATGTGTAATATTTTTTGGGTACCTTGTTAATCTTCCAAACTAAACTGATAATGGTGAAAATATTCAACCTCAGTAGCTTTGGAAAATGGAAAAAGTGAAGAGACATTGAGCTTCAGAAAAACAAAATAAAAAAAATCAATCAAACATTTTTGTCAACCTAATAGTTCAACTAAGAAACATTGAGCTTCAGAAAAATGAGAAGCTCTTGAAAAACAATTCTAGAGAGAGAGAGATAGGAGAGCTTACCACTCAATGGAGTAACCTCTATATTCCTCCGAAGCAGGGGTAAGGTCTGCGTATACACTATTCTACTCAGACCCTACTTGTAAAATTTTAATGGCTTCTTGTTGTTATTGTAATCTTGAAAAATAATACTAAGCCGTTTGTTATGACTTTTAATCAGTTAAACTCTCTTTCCTTTTGGGCTGTTGTAATTTGTAAACTCTCTTTTTTTGGTGTTCAATACAAGGGGGACGCCACCTTAGGCGTAATTATATATTTTTTTAAAAATCAGTTAAACTAGACATAATAAGTATTTACACAGTTTGAGCTATGTCATACTCCATCTCCTAAGGAAAAAAATAGAGAAAGACATATAAGATAAATATTCTAAAGTAGTATAACAACCAGATTGATTTTCCCCTCAATACTTAATTTAATATTTATGTTAAAATTTCTTAGATCAAATTATTGGAGATATTCTTAGTGATAATCAAGGACGTACATGCGTATTTAATTTCAATTATATTTATATGCTATTTGTGTGTATACATATGTGTGTGTGTATGTGTACGTAAACATTCCAACACTATTTCCTCGCTTCAATTCTAAATGATACAGAACAAATTTAGTGGTTAAACTTTTTTAATTTTGAAAACGACTGCCCTGGCTCAATTCATTAATGTTTAAGACAAACTCATTTTGGGGTTTACGTAAAAATAGTGTTTATTTTCGTGTGCATATGTATGCATGTATACATACGTGCATGCACATGATTTTTCTAAGATGAAATAGAAAGACATAGAATATTCAAACAAATTATATTGTTTTTCCCGCTTTTCATCAAAAAGAAAATTGAATCAACTGTGGGATTGTTTGGTACCTTTGGGAAATATTTTCCTTAGAACTTACTTATTTTGATTTGACGTTTGGTTAGGTAGTAAAAAATATTTTTGAAAATATATAATTTAGGCAAACACAATGGGAGACGAAATGGATAAGGCCATGGGAGGATGGTAGGTCAGGATCTATGACAAAAAGAATTCGTGATACATGATAATTCTTCTTTTTCATAAATGTAACAAAATTTTTACATTAATATATTTCAAGCTTAGCCAAACTCTAATAAATGAAAAATATGACTCCTAGATAATATGGTTCGTTTATTCTAAGATTGTAAATAAAACAATATCTCAAAATTGGTAAAGGTATATATATATACACCATATGTATGAGCTTAAAAAATTCTGGCTTGAAAGAACAAAGAGCTATATTAGAGTATTTAATTAAGACTTGATAAAAAAGTGACCATATACATTAGAATCAAGCATGGAAAGTTTACAATACTTATACAATAAATAATTAAATCCCAAAAATAGATCGAAATATGACTAAGCGAATATTCTCTTAAAAATTATTTAATTTTATAAATTATTTTATAAAATTTTATATATATATATATATATATATATATACAAAATAATTTAATATATATATATTTGCAAAGGATTGCAAAGTCATATTTGCAATCCTTTCTTGGAATTTAATATTTAATGTGTATGTATATATATATATATATATATATATATATTAAATATTAAATCTCAAAAAAGAATCGCAAATATGACTAAGCTATATATATATATGTATCGGTTTAGTTTGATGTTTAAGTATCAATACCAAATCAAATACATGTCAACCTTTTAAATCAATTTAATTCAATTTGGAACCAAGTCAAACTACTTTAACCAAGTCAAATATATGTCAGCCTTTTAAAGTTTTACCTCTTAAGTCTTAACTAAGCTCTGAGTTTTTTGCTGAAAATCGCGGACAAAGGCTCTGTGCTTAACATTAAAGTAGTACTAAGGTGAAAAGCTTTAGACTTTTCTCTCTCAACATTTAAATTTACTAGTATTATCATCTTCGTTCCTTATTTGTATTAAGTATTATTTTGAGTAAAAGAAATCAACTCCTCCAATCTATTTACTTTTTCAATATTGTTTCATTTAGAAAAACTGCTGACAATTCGTAGCTTCAATGAAAGTTCAATTTATCTACATATTTAACTATAACAAGTTTTTACGCACGTGCATTATATTGTTATCTACTACTATATTCTTTGACAATTATTTTATATGCAAAAAATCTTATTAAATTTATAAAGGCATACATTTATTATGAAAACATTGTTTTGAGTTATAGAAATAATGAAGTATAAAATGCAACTTTTTGCATGGTACTATGATGTAATGAAAGAATAGAAGGTCCCGATTACTGCACATATTAGCTGAGTGACCACAAAGTTCAGTAGTTAAAAATTAGTCGAAAAATTATACTGTTAATTTTATTATGTATGTAAATTCATTAAATTTTTACTTCTTTATATTTTGAATCTCTCTGCCTTACTAGACAAGGATAAGGTCTCTCTGCTTAACACTCTGACTTACTCATAGCCATGAGATACGGTCTTTAAAGGATCCAACTTCCAAGTAAAGATTGGTCAAACAATTATCTTTTGTGAAATAACAAATATGCGTATTTTTATAAGAATTAGAGTTTACTTGTACTGCATTTATTCATTATTATTACATTTTCTTTTGTATATTTGTCTCCTTCCAAAAGCCACCATCATTATTTACCTATGCCAAGAAAGCACAACCTTAGCATAGTCTGCTACTTTTTTTTTTTTGAAAAATAAAAAGTTTGCTAGATTTGTCTTTCTTCTTTTACATTTAATATATTTTTATCAATTGTCTAATATAACTATATTACGGCCAATTTTTATCTATAAAAAATCAGTATCATCATTTGAGATAAAATAGAGTCTATTAATTTGGAAACAAATATGCAAAGGAAATGAAAGCAAGTATGTGTATATGTGATGTTTGGCTATAATTTCATATTTTTAGTGCATTACTTTCCTTACATTTTGGGGCTTTAATGTTAAACTATATTATATTTGTGCTTAATTGAGTTTATTTCATGTGTAGGTTCTTTGAAGACGAAATTGGAATCAAAGTTGAGATTTTATGTGTATTTTATACACTACAAGAATGGTAGATGAGTATTTAATTATTGTACAATGATTTAAGGTTAATATTATTTAAAAACAAAAAGAGAAAAAAAAGACAAAAGAATGAATTGGAAAGTTAAGAAACGAAAGTCATTGGAATTGGGCAATGATTGGCTATGGCTAGGAAATAATGCAAAGGATTTTTGAAAAAGAAGAGAAAACGTGACTTTGAAGAGTTAGGCAGCAGAATTGAATTGATGAAGCAACAGGCGTAGCGAAGGAATTTTCTCGCGAAACAGCTCGCGTCGCCAGGGCTGCAGCGAGATGGAGCTAGCGTTTGAGCTGCGCGGTATGCGGCGAGTGTGTTTCGGGTTTCAAGCCTATTTTATCTCTTTTTTTATTTTGGACTTAGTTATTTCGTCTAGGTCTTTTTCTTACACATATAAATAGTCATTAAACACTATTTTTAGAGAGAGAAGACCAACTTTGGAGAGACTTTTGACGAAGGAAGAGCACGGAGCCGCCGTGGAGGCCGGAATTCATCAGATCCCATCTTTCTTCCATCAGATTTAGTAATCTTTACTTTTTTTCTTGGTGATTTGTTGTTTTGCTACCATGTCTATGTGGAGCTAAACTTCACGTTCTAGGATTGTGGTTGTCATGGATATTGAAATTTATTAATTATATTACCGTTAATTCGAGTTATCATCTTTGGTTGTTTCTTTAATTCTGTGTATAATTGCTTAATTGTTGGCCATCAGTTGAGTTATTCTATTTACTATCTATGCTATGCTTGGGAAAGCCGTGTTTAGATT